TTCTGACCTATGTGTGCACGCATGTGCACACACACACACACACACACACACACACACACACATGCACACGTGCACAAGCCTGGTACTCCTTTTTTTTCATTATCATGAAAATACTGTACAGAGGGGTTACCATTACATGGGCAAGGTAATGAGTACATTTCTTATCAAGCATTGTTGCCTCCTCCTTTGTTTCCCCTTCCCATCCCTTCCCATCTCCTTCCTCCCACCCCCTCACCCCTGCTCGCCACACCCCCACCAAAGTTGTAAAGTTCATTTTTCGATATAACATCTTGTACATCTCATAGTTACAATGGGTCCGCCTGTATCCCTATTTAAACAATTTGTTTTTTCCCTTCCCCTCCACAAAGTATACCAACATCAAATACAGTGAAAACGGGTTATACTGTGGGAGGGACTGGTACTCTTCTTATATACAGTTTACCATCATCTGCTCACTAATCTAGCTATTGTAGTAAGCATTGTCCAGTGTCTGCAGGGCCTGCTCTGCAGAATCGATTCTCAGACAATTGCTGTTGGCCCATGTAAGTCTATAAGGATACACAGTCATACAGTAGTGATTTTGGTCTTTTCCAACCTTAACCAATTCTGCTTTAAAACAGGAAGCAGCCAGGCACTGATGACTCATGCTTGTAATCCTAGCTACTCAGGGTGTTGAAATCTAAGGATTGCGGTTCAAAGTCTGTCAGACTCTTTATCTCCAATTAACTAGCACGAAGCCAAAAGTAGAGATATGGCTCAGTGGTAGAGTGCCAATCTTGAGTGAAAAAAGCCAAGTGAGTGCAAGACCCTGAGTTCAGTCCCCAATACTGGCTCCAAGAAAACATAAAAATAAAACAAGAAACATTTAATATAATTTTATTGTTATTATTAAGAGTTATAATTTCATAAGCCAGGTATGGAGGACAAGAAGCATTTTTTAAGTTAAGAAAAAGTAATTGTGTGCCCCAGTGCCAATGGCTCACACCTGTAATCCTAGCTACTCTGGAGGCTGAGATCTGAGGATCTTGGTTTGAAGCCAGCCTGGGCAGGAAAGTCTGTAAGATTCTTATCTCCAACTAAGCATCAAAAAGCCAGAATCTGAGCTTTACCTTATGTGGTAGAGCACTAGCCCTGAGCAAAAAAGTTCAAGGACAGCCCCCAAGCCTTGAGTTTAAGCCCCAGGACTGGCACCAAAAAAAAAAATGTGTATGGGGGAGAGGGGGGAAGTGTATTTGAACTTAGCTTGCCTCCTCCCCCCATTTGAGCCAGTAGAAATTTCAAAGAATATAGAAAAGGTTATGGGAGTAGAGGAGGAGTAAACAAGTAAATCAACTTGCCTGGCCTGTTTTTTTTGTTGTTGTTGTTTTTAAGTACTCAGTAATATGATCATTTGTAATAAATAAGGTAGCACTACACTCTTTGGGAAATTCTAGTACTCTATGTCTTTAATTGTGGCTACTTTGTTCAGGACATGTAGGCAGCTCCATTCCAGCTAGAGAAACCTGATCAAATTTCCTGCCTTCCTATCTTATTTGTATTCCTGTGAAAAGCCCAACCAGTTGCTTTTAAACCAGTTTGACTGCTGGTTAAAGGTTAATAAGCTAGTAGTGAGAGGCATCCGGAGTAAATTGTCTCTAACACTCTCTGCTGCTCCTGGCCCAGGGTACTAGGCATCTTAGACCCCAGAAGCAGCCAATTTTGTAGTCTTTTCATACACAAAATTGTATTAATATCAACAGGGATACAGATGGATGCACTGTAATAAACGGTAACCACTTGAGAGAAGCCTTTATTGACTCTCCAGTAAATAATGCACATTTTAAAGGATCTAACTATGCATTTACATAATGTGCTATAATTTTTTTATTGTGTCAACTGCTCACACACCCATCCATAAGAGCTGTTTTTCTTCATCAAAAATTTGGATTCATCCCTTTCCTCCTGCATTCCATGAGCATCACGCCAGATTCTCAACAGTAGTTTGTCTGCTGTAGGATAGGATCTGGCCATCTCAAAGTACATTGAATGAATTTACTGCTTGATTGATTCAACCTCAGTGACTCTTTCTGAAATGTAACATTGAAAAGAAAAAATAATCTTAGGTACAGTGAGAACATCCAGTTCAAGAAATTCAAGATCAAGAAAATTAAGATCTAGAGAAGAAAGCAGAAAGTTAGACATGGAAGAAGTCTTAACACTGAGCTTCAATGAGCCCCATTGTCCAGTTGAAAAGGAATAACAGGTTTTCCAGAAAAATGACATATATTGAATAAGAATGAACAAGCCTTTATGATGTCTGTAACACAATTATTTTCTCCTTGAAGAAACTAAAGCTCAGGTTCTTGAGTGATTTGCATGAAGTTCCATAGTGAACTGCTGGCTGAATCAGAAACTCCCCAGCAAGAAAAAGGATGACCCTATAAATGCAGTTTCAGCAGTTGCCTAATTTGACACTACAAGCTTAGATGATTTCCTGGAATTAATTAAAAATTAATTGAGCCTAATAAATCAGTCATTATAGAATTACTTCCTTATAGTACCATATAGTCTGGGGTTTTATTGAACTATGTTGTAAGGAAAAAGTGAACAGCAAGTATTAGTAAAAAGAAAGTGTAAATTCAAATTGTTAATAATTTCCTGGTCAGCCTTCTGTTTGTTCCAATTGTGTTTTCTCCCTTTGGTAAAAGATGAGGAATTTGTCACCACTATTCTTTATTTAACTATCAGTCATCACTTTCTCTGAGCATCTGAGGCAATACCACTTCCTCCTCAAGATCAGACCATCAGTGCTTTTGACAATGAGGTGCCACCCTTTGTACTGCACAGGAATCAAAAGTTGTCTGTCATTTTGTTAAAGCTCAGTACATTCCCAGCCTACGTGGAGAAACCTAACTACTACATTCAAGGTTTTATATTAAGGTTTCTGGCTACCAATGAGGATGCCTGTATCCTATTAGATGAAAAAAAAAATCTCTTTAGTTTTTTTAAATGCCAGTAGCACCATTTCCAGAGTAAGCACTGGCCATTTTACTTTTTTAGCTTCTGGGTTTTAACTCAAAGACAATAATGGATTCCAAAATGTATTATTCATCATATGCAGTCTTAACATTTATCCATTTTTCAACAAGTTCCCTGACTCTTTAACAGGTAGAGAAACCAAGTTTTTCTTCACCATGTTTATGGTTACCTTCTTAATTTCTGTACCACTCATTTATTCAATCATTTATTGTGCAGTATTTATTGAGTAGCAGACAGTTCTGGGTATATGGCCACAAACAATTCAGTGGATATAAATGCTGTTTACTGATAAGGGAATGACCGAGAGAAGGGTCAGGTAACAAAAAATTCTGATTTTTAAGTCCATGCTCGTCAATTAATAGGCAAGTACTCTTTTTAACAGCCTTAGCTATGCATGTGGGATAGTGGTAAAAGAGATAGCCTGTCATACTTTGAATTCTCTTCAGCACTGTGAGTCAGTCATTCTTGTATTTGGAAAGTGTTATTCCCCAAAAATGTGGTCATTCCTGTATTTTTCTTAGTAGAAAAACTTTCAGTTTAAAGAATTAAACTAAAAACAAAAAAAAGATAAGGAAAGATTCATACACTTATCTCCCCTAAATTGAGAAAGTTTTGTCTGGCTATTGTTAAAAAATGCAAATTAGAATCATGGTGTGGCTTGGTTTGAGTGCTTCATTCCTGGACATGGGCTGTGTATATCCCCAGCCTTTCTATTATCTTTCCAATTCATGGCCAGAAATTATCTTAGATCCTGGCACTGTTGGCTCATGTCTGTAATCTTAGCAGCTCAGGAGGCTGAGATCTAAAGGTGGCAATTCAAAGCCAACCCAGGCAGGAATGACTATGAGACTTCTATCTCCAATTAACCACCCAGAAAAAGCCAGAAATGGAGTTGGAACTCAAGCGGAGCACTAGTCTTCAGCAAACACACTCAGGGACATTGCCCTGAGCTAAAGTTCCAGGACCAACACACACACAAAATTATTAGAAAAATTATTGTGCCATCTCATACAAGTTTTTAATATAATTTTATTATTATTAAGGTGTTATATGAAGGGGTTGCCGTTTTATAAGTGCAGAAATGAGTACATTTCTTCTCTTGAACAATGGTACCCCTTCATTCGTGTTCCCGCAGTTGCCCCTTCACACCCTGGTACAAGTTACACAGGTCATTTTCCAGATAGTGTATACTGAATAGCATGATCATATATGCTTTTGAATCTGATGTCATCTTTTTGTACAAATTATATTCATCAGGGATCAGGTGCAATAGTCTTTTATCAGGTTTTGTGGACCGAGGACTGACCTTTTCTCAGGGGTCACTGCCTACACAATTCATGGATTCCTCTGCTCTGACATTTATACATTTCTGAACTTGGCTTTGAAATGGCAAGCCAATTTAAAAAAATAAAAAAGGAGTGCAACATAAACCTTCATGTAAAGTGAAGCCCCCAAATTGTATGGGTTCATTAAGTGATCATTTACTACACACTTCAAAAAAATCCATCCGGAATTAGTCTCTAGAAATTTCCTTGAAAGGGGTATAAGAGCCTTAACAATGAATTATTGTCTGTGGATAGCTCTCAATGAAAGGGAATCCATATGTGCAAACTAGAATTTGTCAAATGTAATGTCAGTTAAATCAGGTCTAATCTACCAAATACATTTTTTATTGCTTGCTTCATTAAAAAGGCTCTTAAAGTAATGAATAATCTTCATCTTCACCAAGTATTATTAATGCCTTTATAACTCATGCCCACTGAAAATAGAAAGACAGCTTGAAACTCTACCCTAATCTAACCTCCATGTTTGTCTTAGATCCTATAGAAAGAGAATACATCAGACCTATCCAGTGTTAAATTCAGTCACATGAGCCATGCCCTGAATTGGGCCGGGAGAAGTTAAAAAGGAGGCTGAATATAGTTCAGCTGGACAAACAGGTCTTTCTCTCTCCGTAATCCTTGTCTTTTCTTTTCCTACAGCAAGTCCACACGCGACACCATCGACTCTCCATTTTCCAACATCACCCATTATCCAGCAGCCTGGGCCTTATTTCTCGCACCCAGCCATCCGCTACCACCCTCAGGAGACGCTGAAAGAGTTTGTCCAACTTGTCTGCCCTGATGCTGGTCAGCAGGCTGGACAGGTGGGGTTCCTCAATGTAAGGAAACCTCTTTATTTTTTAAAAAATTTCTTTAAAATCCTAACCGAATGTAAAAATAACAAGAGGAGACCTTATGACCATGTGACATTGTGCTCTAATGTCGTGCTGACTGACTGCAGGCAAATGTCATATTTATTCTAGATTGTGGGAAAGTTAACTTGCTCTAAGAATGATTGGCTGGAGTTTCAAAACAGTGTTTGTGTTAAGTTTTCAACTGTCAAGTTTATGGATATAAATCATCTTGAGGGTGAACCATATAACCTTAGTTTTGTGGGCTGATAATTCCACCTCCTGCATTCTAACCCCAGGACTCAAACAGTTAACAAAATAGAAAGACTAAATGATTTTAAATAATGGTTTGGGGTAGTGACAAGAGGTAGGGGGCAGAGGAGGACAGATGTTTCAGATCAACCAAGTTGATATATTTTTTTTAAATACAGTCTTCTAACACTTTAGATCAAGTTGACCAGTACTTGAACTCAAGATGCTAGAAGCATAGTTTATTATGGTTTGTTATTTCTGCAAGTAGTTATCTTTTCCACTTATCTTTGCATAAAACTCAACCATATTCAGTAACTTCAAATGATTGTTTTCTTTCTTTTCCTCAAACCAAATAATCACAATTTGAAAAAAGCATCCCAAATGTAAAAGTGATTTTTCAAAATCACAAGTTTTATTACAAATGTAGAACTAGATGTGTACACTGGATAGCCACATCTCAAGGTCAATAATAATAATAATAAATAACCATCAACATAAAGACAAATTTGGTTTTCCCTTTCTTGTAATAACTGTGCATGAAACCACAGATTAGCCATAATTATTGCTGCCCAGTTTGGGATATTATGTCACACTCTCTTATCACTGGCTTCTTCCTCTGCAGAAATACCTGATTCTGCATATCTGAGCCAGAACAGGCAGCTTTGACTAATGGCTGGTGATATGTTAGCAGATACATTTCTGTCTAGACAACAAATCAATATGGTGCCTTTTTTTTCCCAGTGTGCTTGTGTATTCATTTGCTTGGCTTATTCTAAAGCATTCACTTACAGACTTTTAGCCTACTCAGAAATAGCACACGGGCAAGTTTGCTGGCAGGAACTCACAGCATTCTGATTGTCAGACAAGATAGTCTTTGAGGAACAATGCTAAATATATCAGTGAATGCTGAGGGCAGAGCAAGACTACCTCTGCAGAATCATTAGGCTTATGCCTAAAGTCTGGGGCCCCAGAATCTCGTTTAGCAGAATTTTGATTTAGGATCCAGCTTACGTATGAGCTGTTTCTGTGAACAGTGTGTCACTGGAGTCTGGACATGCATTCAGAAGGGCCACTTTGGAAACCATGATATCACGTGAACTCATCACCCAAGTCAAGCATCTGCCTTCCAAACACCGAATTTTTTTTCATTTAATAGTTTTGACATCATCCTATATACCTGTGGGAAGTTCCTGGTTTTTGTATTTTGATCAAAATTTTATCGAGCTTGAGACAGGTCTCTTCATGGAGACCATTTTGGAAATTTTAAAAATAAAACATCTTAATCAGCTGGCATTTGGTTGTCTTAAAAAATCAAGTGACCAAATAAATCTGATTCTTGTGGCATATGTTCACCAAATTAGGTCAAAATTAAAAGTGATCTCTTCACCTAGCAGAATTATGAAATTAGCTAAATTCTAAAGTTTCAATGCCTGGTGGTATATAGTATGTGAAAAAAATATTTAGGTGCACTGAACACATTTTTTAAATGTTATATAAGGTTGAGTTTGAAAAATATATATATCAAATGTATATTTAGGAAACTATCTTAATTGTATAAATGTACATGGCTGAATAATACCTTCGTTCATAAACACTTAAATTTAAAATATTTAATAATTGTGATAATGAAAATAGCAATTAACACAGAACCAGGACATATCTGACAAAAGGTTACTTGGGTGACAATTCCAGAGTGGAGATGGACAAGTCACTTTATGGAGACAAATGTGAAAGAGGGCAATATAGTTTAGGACTCAGTGATTGTAGGCTCCTAAGCCCATCTGATGGGCTTATGAAAGAATTTAATCAGTAAAGAAACATCACAATTTACATAGCAGGTGCCTAATGCATCTTTCGTTTTCAGAAGCAGCTAATGACTGATGTCTTCTTTCTTCTTTCTCTTGTGTGTGTTTTGTTTCTTCCCCTCATTCTCACAGCCCAATGGGAGCAGTCAAGGCAAGGTGCACAACCCATTCCTTCCCACCCCAATGTTGCCCCCACCACCACCACCACCGATGGCCAGGCCTGTACCTCTGCCGGTGCCAGACACAAAGCCTCCAACCACATCAACAGAAGGAGGGGCAGCCTCCCCCACCTCACCAAGTAAGTATGGCTGAGACAAGGTGCTGGTCACTTATGGAGCTCTGTGCACTTGAATATACACCTAAGATTTGTCCCTCACTGAATAGCCTCTGGCAATACACACACACACACACACACACACACACACACACACACACGATGGTTGAAGTATGAATTTCCTAGCCCAAGCCAGAGTCAAGGTAAACATTCTCACTCCTAGCCACTGTAACTACACCATATGTAGAAATAGCTGACAGGGTGGAAATGATTGTATAACTGCATGCCCAAGTCTAAGATTAGCCAGGAACCAGTGGCTTATGTAATCCTAACTACTTAGGAGGCTGAGAATTGCAGTTCCAAGCCAGCCCAAGCAGGAACGTCTGTGAGTCTTATTTCCAATTAACCACCAAACAGCCGTAAGTGGAACTATAACTCAAGTGGTAGAGCACTAGCCTTGAGTGAAAAAGCTAAGGGACAGTGCCGAAGCCCTGTGTTCAAGCTCCAGTACCAAACAAAAAGAAAAGAAAAGAACTACAAATTAATATGTTTTATGTATTATTTAAGTAGCTTTGAATGTTATCCCCATGATCATCAAAGAACATCTACTTGAGCAAATTATTAGCAAAAATTTCTGAATTTTATTTTTATGTAGCCATGCCTTCCAGGAACTTGTAGTCCAAGAAAAAATATACTTGAGGGAAAAAAAAGTTATATACCTCACACATCCAATAGGGAAAAAGTGTTTAGATCTAAGTTGTTGACTCAAAAGTGCATGTGTTGATCACTGCCAGTGGCAAGGAGAGCCTGGCAGGCTAGAGTAGTTGCCCTGGCAGTGGCATCGCTGGGAAAAGGGAAATGAGGGCAGATTTGCATGGAAAGAGAGAAGAACTCTTGGCTCTTCTCTGAATAGTCTCGGAATATTTCATCAGAAAATATACAATTTCAAAACCTTTCTAGATAAAGGGAATGATTACTTGATGAACTAGAGAATAAACAATTCTCTAGATAGTCCTGATATCTTAAAGATGGCTGGGACTAGAAATAGCTTAAACACACAAATGTGGCTTTCATTAATGCCTAGAATAATGACAGGAAGAGTGATGGCTGCAGTTCCCAGGTGATGGATGTTCTAGCTGTGATAGATAGTGTGATGAGCACCTTTCCCTAATTGCTTTAAAGATGGGTTGACGTGTATGAAAGAATAGGAACTGTGACATGGTCCCAAGCAGAGCCTAACGGGGTCTCCTCTCAGAGGGATCAGGATAAGTGTTAAGGTCAAGAACTTGAACAGCAGAAATAGGAAGAGAGAGGAACGACATAGCATTAGGATTAGGCAACTACTTAGATAACTATGAAGAATGAAGATTTCTGGCCTCTTAGCTTTCTCACATTGGATATTAGAATCATAATACTACTGCAATAGGAGAAAAGGCCTAGGAAAGAGGAAAGATAAATCTCTGTTCAGATCGAGTTCATTGAATGTGATTCTGAGAAAGCTCCTGAATCCAAAATGCCCAAAATTTCTCATGGACATGCATCTATCTAATATTTGTGTCTTTGAATGTGTGCAGAAGTGGATGACATTGTATGAGAATTTAGTACCTTTAACAACAACCAAAAAAAAAGGGTTAGGGAAAAACCTGCCTGTCAGTAAAAGGAAGCTCAGTTCAGCACTTGTCAACAGGAAAAAATCCCCAGTATCACCCAGGTGTGGTAGTACATAGGCATCCAACATTCACAACACTTGGCAGGCAGAAGCAAAAGTATGAAAAGTTTGAGGCCAGCCGGGGTTACATAGCAAGCTTTCCAAGGGCAGTCTGGGCTACACAGAGGGACACCATCTTTAAAAAGAACAGAAAGACATGAGTGTCCAATGACAAGCTGAGCTTGACTTGTGGATCCTGGAAGCTCCACTGAGATAAACGGTTTCAGAGAAGAGGCTCAGTGGGTTTCCTTTTAGTGTGGATCTGCTAACAAGTCAGAGAAACAAAGTTATCAACTCTACCTATCAGCTATCAGCTTTCACATCTCTGCAACCACATTCTTACTGTGCCCTATACTCCATCAGGATACCATCTTCTTGTTCCTCTTCCTGCTGAATGTATGCAGGACACTGCCAGAGCCCTTTAAAGAGTATAGTAATAGCCACCTTACTACCAGTGTCTCATGCTTTGTAGTGAGCTTGCCAGTAATGAAGATGAAACTCTGAGAAGTGAAAATAGCATGGTATGGTTATTAAATCTAAAGAATGGAACAGAGGGACCTCAAATGCCCAGGTTTCCAGCCTGCTAGCCCTGTATGTCTTTCTCTGAAGCAGTTTCTTCATCTGTAATATGTAGATGATAATACCTACCTGACAGGACTCGAGGAAATCAGTCCCCAATTAGCAGCCCTACCAAACACATTGGAGCATTGTATTATCTGCCCAAATGCCTGCCCTAAAGTGTGTGTAGATTTGGCAGAAGTGACTCCACTACTAAATCAAATGTATGCCTTTGGTCCACAGTCCACTCCATGGACGACTGAAACAAATGCCCTGTACAGGAAGATCCCTGCTGTGTTAAATTATTATTGTTATTATTATTATTATCTTTAGTTGTACAAAGAAGTTGCCATTCCACAAAGCAATTCATGAATCCAGTGCATCTTGGTCAATGTCACCCCTTTTAACATTCTCACCCATCCCTCTCAACCCACCCCTTCCCTTGCTTTCCTTATTTTTGTAGGATATGCACTGCATTTTTTTACTACATTCCCCCCCATACACACCTTCTTCTCTTCACTCATCTGCCCCCTCCCCTTGACCCCTCCCTCACCCCTTTCAAGTTCTGGAGCATTTTGTCAGCACACTGAGAAGAAAGCAGGAGTAGCTCTTGGCAGAACTAGCTTATGTTAACTAGAGTAGTGATTAAAGATTTGAGGAGAAAAGGAGACCATCAGAAGAGATGAAATAGGTTTGATATGGGTAATTTGATGTCTACTGTTTGGATCATAGGATGCCAGGAACATAGACAATAGAGAATCTTCTACTGACGGAAGAGAAAAGGGTTTTGTCATCCTAAATATTGTCCATGTGGGTAGGCTTTTCAAGAAAGAATATGCTGGATTCACAGTGATACATTGCTTTCCAGAAACATACTGCTTATTACATTTTCTGCTAAGAGGACAGTGATAGGCTGGGGATGCTATGATTTGTAGCATTAGAGAAGCTTTTCAAATTAAAAATCTCAAAGCATACCAGTCTATGTTGGGAGGAGATTTAAGTCCCCTACTCCTCCATGACCCAACTTCTGAACCAGTTGATAAATAAAAATATAAGACAAACCAGGTGTCAACTCCCTTATCCGCTAGCAGGAATAAAAGCCCAGGCTCCCCGATTGCCTGTTAGGAGGAAGTGGGGAGACAGCTGTGCTGTGCTGTGCTATGTGCTGTGCTGTGCTGTGCTGTGCTGTGTGAGACAAAAGTCCAAGGCAACATTTTTAATATTCCCTTATAATGAAATGCAAATGGTTGTCAGCCTAGAGCAGACTACGTGTTTTTTAACTAAATCAATTGCCTTTGGCACTAATACTAAACTTTGCAGCTGTGGCCAGAAACACGGGTGTAATGCAAATGATAGGGGGAGATCTATAAAATAAATACATTTTAATAGGAAAAATCCTACCCCATGCCCTGAAAGTATGAGGAAGTGGAAGTGGAGAGGAAGTTGAATAACTTTCATGTTGTTGATGTGTTCAGAGACAGACTGGTCTCTGTAGACTGGGTATAGTGATAAACTTGAGGTTCAAGTGAGAGAAATTCCCATGGGCCTGTTCCCTTCTCATTGAATGCCTTTATGGGTTCCCATCTCTAGAGAAAAAAAAACCCTTCCTTCTTCCATCCTTCTTCCTTCCTTCCTTCCCTTTTCCTCTTCCTTTCCTTTTCATCCCTCCCTTTCTTCTTCCCTCTCTTCTTTCCTCCTTTCTCATCTCCCTCCTGCTTTTTTTCCTTCACTTCCTTTCATTTCCTTTCTTCCCCCCCCATCCTCACTTCCTTTCTTCTGCACACATTTGTTGAGCATCAGCTATGTGCCAAGCCCACTTCCAGGTTTTAACAGAAAAAATTAAAATCCTGACCTAGAGAGGCAAGAGGTAAGCCAATCAGAGCAGTAGTGTGAAGAGTAAGGAAAGCAAAGCCTAATAGAGGAGGGGGAGAACCTGTGGTCAGCCTTGTGAGAAGGAGAAGTTAGAGCAGGCCGTGGAGAGTGGGAGGGGGTAGAGGCAGAGACTGGCAAGTGGAGGAGCAGTTAGTACTGAGGCAGCCTGGCTGGCAGTTTGAGAAAAGTATGGCCAGTGAGAGGATGGAAGGAAGTAGGAAGTGCCATCAGGGGAGGTATTGAGGATGTGATTTGGCAGTGTTCATACCAAAGGACTTTCTAGGCCAGTGTAAGGACTTCCATGGCCTCCACATGAGACCAAGAACAGAAGATTCAGGCTGTCTAGCTTTGAACAGCAACATTGGCAGGCCCTGTTGAAAGTAGACTGCCAAGGGCAACCTTGAAAGCAGGGAGAGCAGTTATGAAGCTGTTCTGTTCAATAAATATAATGTGTCTGCTACCTGCCACACACTGTTTCAAGCCTGAGAATTACAAAAGTGGAAGAAAAAAAAACTGCCCTGGTGCAGCTTGTACTCTATCAGAAGGGGACAAGTGACAATCAAAATTTAAGTACATTAAGAAGTGAGGGATCTGCAGATACAATGTAGAAAGCTGAACTGAGAGGAGAGGGGGAGGGGAGGGGCAACCGGGAACTATCACCATCATCCAGGCTAGAATCTGAAGGCAAGGGCAGTGGGTGGTGAGAAAGAGACAGGATCCAGATACTTTTGGAAGGCAGAGCTAACAAACGTTGCCGATGTCTTTGATATGGGTTGAAAAAAGAGGAGATAAATCAATGATGACTACCTAGGTTTTTGACCTGAGCATCTGGAAGGATGGAATTGCCATTGACTGAGCTTAGGAATGGACAGGAGACTTTGTTCTG